TAGTGCCAAGGAAAAAAAAAAGTTCTCCCTGTACTTAATGAAATATCACGGTTTGGTGACGTACGTATTGGGGGCTTGAATTATACCTCTAAGAATTATTGACTGCGCCGAGGTCCACACTGTTAGTTTTTCCTAAGTACATATTCCAAGAGTACTGTCTTCTGGGACATGACGCCGTGTAGTCCGTTGAAAATCAACCGACGATTCGGAGAACACATAGTCTCCATCTTCACGGTCGAATAAGCCTAGCTTGCGAGAGTTCACTCAGTTTTCCATCACTGTTCACGTTGGTATCATACTCGGCTTATTCTACCCTGAAGATGGAAGGGATATATTCCTCCGAAACGTCGGCTGGCTTTTAACGAACTACACGGTGCTATATCGCAGAAGATAACCATAACCACCGCTGTGAGAATCTCAAATCCTGCCTACATATTCCAAGTTCTTCCTCTTAGGATCCTTGGTTTTTGAGNTCGAATCCCACTCAGGGCATGGATGTTTAGTTTGTGTGTGTGCGTTTTTCTGTGTTTGTATATAGGTAGAGGCCTTGCGACGAGCTGATCACCCGCCCAAGGAGTCCTACCGAACGTATAAGATCTAGAAAAACCGAAGTGAACGGAGAAGTTCATGGAGGTAGGGCTAGGCCCACTGGGGCTTTAGTGCCAAGGAAAAAAAAAAGTTCTCCCTGTACTTAATGAAATATCACGGTTTGGTGACGTACGTATTGGGGGCTTGAATTATACCTCTAAGAATTATTGACTGCGCCGAGGTCCACACTGTTAGTTTTTCCTAAGTACATATTCCAAGAGTACTGTCTTCTGGGACATGACGCCGTGTAGTCCGTTGAAAATCAACCGACGATTCGGAGAACACATAGTCTCCATCTTCACGGTCGAATAAGCCTAGCTTGCGAGAGTTCACTCAGTTTTCCATCACTGTTCACGTTGGTATCATACTCGGCTTATTCTACCCTGAAGATGGAAGGGATATATTCCTCCGAAACGTCGGCTGGCTTTTAACGAACTACACGGTGCTATATCCCAGAAGATAACCATAACCACCGCTGTGAGAATCTCAAATCCTGCCTACATATTCCAAGTTCTTCCTCTTAGGATCCTTGGTTTTTGAGCGAGAGTTTTTAACACAAACCTACACACATCCTCTCTTATTTACTTGGAAAGTGCCTTCCGATGAATGTTCATGTGGCACTGTTTATAAACATGTTACTTGCTCCCTTTATTTCGGACCCGTGTTTACTTTGTAGTTGCGCGCAAAACTGGCCTGGTTAGACTCGTATGTGTGATAATTCAATGCCTTTTCGCAAGATTGGAATCGACATGTTTTTCAGACTTCCGTGCTGCCACTTTGACATGACGTTGCTTATAATTCCTTTTATCTCTGCATTGCCTAAGGTAACTAGTGTTGACCATGATTTACATTTCCGTTCTATTTCTCTGAGGCAGTTTCAGCTGCAGAACTTCTGTTAATCACACGTATATGTCTGCATGATGACCTTTATAACTGTGTATAGCAGAGTAAGCTACAGAAGACGTTAGCAGT